CAGTGGGGACTGAGATAGTCAAGGACCACACTACACCCTAATTGAGTATAGTAGGGCGTGTGGTAGCGGTATCAGCGGGTAATCCAATTGAGTATATCAGAGCGGTGGCTCTTCTATCTGTGATGGGTATTGAGTATGGGAGTGGAGTCCCTATTCTCATGATGATTCACGTGTTGGATCGGGGGTTGAGAAGTTGAGGATGAGGAGTATGATGATTTATTTTTTTAGTTTAAGAGTCAGTGATAGTACTAAACAGTTGGGATGTTCAGTATTGGAATGGTATGAGACTTCAAATGGCTAGAGGCAGTCGTGATGAGAAGTTCCTAAGGATTTATTCGGAGATTTAGGGTATTTGAGGTTTATTGATCTCTACGTGGGGACATCATTGGGCGTTGTGAGGCATCTTCCAGGCGTAGGTGCGGTGTTTCTGGTGGAAACCATCTGTGGGGTAGACTGTTGATACGTCAATTAGTGATGGTTCGAACCCTAAGTGGGGGAGAACCGGGTATTTTATTGAGGGAACCAAATATTTGTGCAAGAACGGTTAGGGGTTGGACTGCGACTCGAATTCATGAGACCAGGGACATTGGTGATCAAGGAGAGGTGCAGAACGAGATAATGCATGTGGTACGTGTCTGAGGAAGCATGAGTGTCTCCACGGCATGTGGTGAATGGTCAGGAACCTGGTGGTGGTCAGGACTGTTTCAAGTGGAAGACTCATAATGATGGTATGGGCATTTGAGAACTTCTGAGTCGAAGTATCGATTGTATATGGTCCTTTCGAGGTGGATAGAAGATTATCAAGCAGCCAACTCCCGGGCCGGTATGTGTATTCTTGCGTGGATTTTGAGCAGTAGGGGAAAGGATTTCGGAGGATCATCAGCATGTTCTAAAGCGTTAACGCTTTCTTTGTATTCCAATTGAGTGTTTGGATACACTGAAGTTGCGCATTGGGAAAAATGGAGAATTATTTATGGGGTTCAGAGGAAATGTATTGTTGTATCTGTATGGTGCTGGGAGTAGGAGATTAGTGGTTGAGGCAGGACATCGTGGTGTTCTGTAATGGTGCTCCGTGGTACCCAGGTATAATGTTCCAATTTCTGAGTTATTTAGAATCTTGAGTTTGAGACGACTAGTGGTGTATCATGTATCTGCGGTTCCAGTGGGAGCCCTTCAGGTATTGACAACAAGAGGGATTAATTAAGGAAGTGGATCTCCACAGAGGTAGGTATTTTGTTATAGCGGTTGCCGCCAGAGTCTGTGATGTATATGTGGGACAAGTGTGTGTAGCTATCTATGATAGTTTGCGGAGCATGAGTTAGTGGACGTAGTGTGGTGTTGTGATGCTACGGGGAGTCGTAGTGCTCACAATTTAGAGAGAGGGAGTTGTGATACTACGGGGAGCCGTTGTATTCACTAGTCAGAGGGTGTTTTGATACTACGGGGAGCCATAGTACTCACTGGTCAGAGGGTGTTGTGATACTACGGGGAGCCATAGTACTCACTAGGCATCAAGAGGTTATCGTGATGTTGTGGGGAGCCATAGTACTCACTAGACAGCAAAAGAGTGTGATGATGGAGTGTTCTCCGAACAGTGTATGATGCAGAAGAGTTTTAGGCTTGAGTAGCCCTAGTATTGAGTTTTTGGAGCCTAGTGGTTGAACCAGAGGCGAGACTGGGGTCTCCATCTCTGTCAGGGCTAAGTCAATTTCCGGTTGGATTATAGTTTTCATTTGAGAATTTTGTGACTTGTGTGTCACATGGGCCGAGATAGTTGATGCGAAGAGGAAGTCAGTGGGAGCTCTTCTGTGGAGAGCCTTGCAGAGTTGTACGTGAGGGAGATGGTATCGTGGTGCGGAGTACCGATCTCGATTGTCTCTTATCGAGATTTACGTTTCACTTTCAGATTCTGGAAGAAATTCCATGAGGAGTTGGGCATAAGGTTGCATTTTAATACCGCCTACCACCCACAGACTGATGGGCAGAGCAAGCAGACAATTCAGACGCTCAAGGTCACACTTCGGGCATGTGTACTGGATTTCGGAGGAAGTTGGGACACGTACTTACCCTTGGTTGAGTTTTCCTATAACAACAACCATCATTCGAGCATTGGTATGCCACCCTTTGAGCTGTTGTATGGGAGGAGGTGTCGGACTCCCATTTGCTGGGGAGAGGTAGGGCAACGTGTGATGGGTAGTACAAAGATGGTGCTTCAGACGACCGAGTAGTTTCAGTAGGTCAGACAGAGGTTGCTGACGTCCCAGAGCCGTCAGAAGAGTTATGCGGGTAGACGACGGTCAGACCTCGTGTGGTGTTAAAAGAGATATGGAATTTGGAGCTGAGGCTTATGAATGGGATGTTTGAGGACACTTCTGATCGGGCATGGTTATGCTTTTGTGTCTATGGAAAGAATGTTGTGGGATTCTTTGTTCGAAGGGTTTTTGATAGCAGTCCAGTAGATGTGGCCCGGTAGAGTGTGAACCCTTTTATTCGTGGGGCGTGATTCATATGATTTAGCATGATCGGCTTGAAGGAGAGATAGCCGGTTGTTGGTCGTGGTCTTATGAGAATCAGAGAGCCATTGAGGGAACTGGGTTGATATTCGAGGAGCAAAAATCATGGTGACCGCTCAAGTAGGTGGTCTGACGGTGGATCAGGCCACTAGAGTTTCCGGTCATTAGGAAGGGGTATTTTTAGCGGCGTAAGAGTTGGTTTAAACTCTGGGTTTGGAGGATCTATGTGGTTTCGGGTGTCCATAGAGAAAGATATCAGTGTGGTATGAAGATCATTTTGGCAGTGCCTTTCGGTTTAATGATTAAATTATGTGTGGTTAAGGAATGATTTCGAGGGTGAAATCTAATTCAAGTGGGGGAGAATTGTAACATCCGGATTTTCAGGGTTGTTATTGTGTAGTTTAATCTTTTGATTAAAGGAGAGACTCGACGAGTTGAGGATCCAACTCGCCGAGTCGAGTCGGGTTTTTCACGCGGATTTAATGAGTGGACCCGACGAGTCAGAGGAGGGACTCGTCGAGTAGGTGCTGGGCAGAGAAACCCTAATTTCTCGGGTTTGGGACCTGTTTAAAGGTCCTTATGGCCTTCATTTGCGGCCACTACACCTTGAGAAACCATAGAGAGCAGAGAGGAAGCTTGTGGTGCAAGAGGAGGGCTAATTCATCATCCTTTGGAGTGTCTTAGCAAAGGGAATGAAGGATTTCGAGTTGGGCTATCTTGTGGGACTCAAACCTTCCATCATTTTGTTCAGAGCTGCTGTGAAAGGTAAGGATTCATGTCCATCTTCGTTTGATTTCATGAATCTAGGGTTTCTTCATGCTTTATTTAGCTTGAATCTAGAGTATGAGAGGTCCCATGGTGAAATGATTCTTAGATCTGGACCTTATGAGGTCCAGATAGTCCCTTCCATTCTGCTTTATGCCTTTTCCTTGGAGTTATGAGCTAGGGTTGTCATGATATGAAGGATTTCACCAAAATAAGCATAGAGAGCCTTGCATGTGTACCAAGATTCGACCTTTTTGTGGTTATTGGTCATAGGGAAGTCAGATCTATGGACTACAGGAAAGGATCTAACCTTAGAAGGTCCAATGAGTGTTGTCATGGGAGCAACGCGCCGAGTTCATGAGAGGACTCGACGAGTCGATTGGGGGTTGCCCCGCGATTCATAGCAGGTGTAACTCATCGAGCTAGGGGTTGGCTCGACGTGTCAAGTGAGGCTAGAAGGAGGATTCAGTGGGCACGTGTGGACTCGCCGAGTTGCCCATGTGCACTCGACGAGTCGGGTCAAAGTTTGATTGTTGACGTTTGTTGACTTTCGGGTTTTGGTCAAGACCAACTTAAGAGAGTTCAGGGAAGGGTAGAATGGTATTCTACCCCATCTTTAGAGCTGAGACAATGAGAGAGTGTTGATCGGGGATGTTATTTGAATAATAGGAGGAGGCCAGGTCGGGACGTTGAGCACGAGAGTTCATCCGACTTCGTTTGAGGTGAGTCTTCACACTATACTTTACCTTGAGTGGTAATTAGAGTTATGTGACAGAGTTATTGTATGCTACTTATGTGATGTGTTGCACTGCATTATTTCTATGTGATTTATTCCGTGTGTATATCAGAGTATATCAGAGTTAGAACCGGAAGGTTCACAGAGCTAGGATCAGAGGGTCCACAGAGTTAGGGCCCAAGGGACCACAGAGTTATAGCCTCGAGTGGATAGTATGTGTTATGTGTGGTATTTTGGGGAACTCACTAAGCTTCGTGCTTACAGTGTTTTGTGTTATGTTTCAGGTTTTTCTCAGGATCACGGGATGACACCGGCTCGATTGTACACACCAGAAGAAACGTTGGTTTTGAGGATCTTGGTCTATTAATTGATTGAACAAAAGAGTCATGTATTGTAATTTAAACAAAAAGGGAGATTTTTTATGAAAAGTGTTAAAGAGATGAACGATTTTTAAATGAAAATTTTGTTTTAAAAATTTCGGTGTTACAAACTTATATTACGGGTGAGTTCTTTGGGCTCAGTTAGTCCAAAGCACATTTTCTTCCACATGACATAGTGAAATCTCTTGTGCTTGTTTCTGGACCATCGTCGTTCAAAGGGCGATTAGCAAACTCAACGTTCCTGTCCTAGAAGGGTCATGTATGGTTTTGTTCCAGATTTTCCACACAAAAAAACATCATACTCGCAGACAACTCAAAGTTCAGTTTCATCGGCTTCATTCCTGAAGCAATGCTTCATGATGTTCCGATAATGAGTGATGTACTGCGAGCCTATGCAGTTTGCTCGTCTCCAGATTTCGTCACTTGTATGATGAAATGCGAAAAGTCCTCGATGAGGTGGACAAACCTAAGAAGGGAGGCAAGAAGAAGGGTACGAAATTTGGTCCATCTAAATTGGCTCCATCACCCAAACAGTGAGGAAAACGAAAACCCGATGCAGAACCTTCCACACCAGGTCAAGAACCTAAAAGGAAAAGAGTTAAGAAAATGGCTTGTAAACCACAAACTACAACACCAAGAAATCAAGAGGACTCACAATCACAAACAGTTTCGGAGGTTCCAATTCAGAAGGAAGCTCACAACGAAGAGGATGTTACTTCTCAACCAAAGGTTTCGAAGCCGACAACTATGAATCCTGTGGTAACATATGAAATCCCGACTTCTGTTCCAATGACTAAAGAGTTATTCCAAAGTTTTTCTGTCCATTCTCACACTGCCACTATCTCCACTCCTATTACAATTGCTCAATGCCTATCGGTGTCATTGGGCGTTTCGCAAACCCAAACCCCACTTTTCACTGATTCCATAACAACCACCACTTCCACAACTGTTGAAACTCCAGTAACTATTAATGCATCTGATGCGGGGCAGGAGCTTCGGGTTTCTCAGTCAGTCATTCAACTCTACCCATTTCTCCTTTCCGCCAGGATGATGCCAAGATCTATGACGGATATAATGACGACTTCTCAGGATTCACCTACAGTCCATTCAACATTCGTACAATAATTGATGATGAAGTTCCCATCAGAAGAGGGCAAATCAAGGCAATCAATGAGAAATTGGATTCGTTTATCTAATCATCTAAAGCATCATCCAGTGAAGACTATTCAAAAGCAACGATCAAGTCCTTCCTCGACACCCATATGAAAGAACAGTCCACTAATCTGGAGAAAACGAACAAAGTAGATGCTTCTACTTCTATTTGCAATGAGATGACCGAAAAAGTCGATTAACTAATTACAGATGCTCATCCATTCATGGAAAAATTTCAGAGCTCATTCGAGTCCAATAAAACGAGAGCTAATGACGTGATTTATAGTCTTGGATCCACTCTTAAAACGGAGAAGGCGAAACTCGAATAGGTTCGCACTGGCCTCCAAACAGACAATGTTGAGCTCAACTCCTCTATTTTATCGAAGATCATGAAACATCAAGATGACTTGGCAACTGAGAGTAAAATAATGCATGCTCTCTTAGTGAAGACGGAGAAGGTGAAAGTCCTCATAGTCAAGCTTGAGCAAGCATAATCAAGAATCAACAATCTTCTATCCGAGAAGGCGGTTATGAAAAGTTGTATCTTAGATGTCAATGCATTGCTTTCGGACATCACCGAGACTCATGACTCGATGATCACTATCACTATCCAAAGGCATCTGTCCGAAAAGCTAAGGCATGTATTTGCAATGCTTCACAAACTAGAAGGTGTTCCAAAATCAAGCTTAATTTTTAAACAAGGGGAAGAAGGAGTGAAACAATCCAAGAAGGAAACCCCCAAACCTTCAATCATGCCCACTGTCAAGCCTAATAGCGAAAATAAACCAAAAGGCAAAGAGAATATGATCAATGAAGAACCTGATAGGTTTTGAGCATAACATCAATCCTATGGTGTTCATGCAACCCTAATTGCTTGGATCTATTTTTTTCTACTTCGAACATGCAATAAACTTCCAAGACTTACAAATCCTAGATCTATCATACAAGTAGTCAAATTAACATATAAACTAGGGTTTAGATCTTACCTTGGTTGTTATGTAGCAATAACAATCTTAATCCTTCTTTTGATTGTCTTTGGAAAGCTTAGTGCCTAAAATGTTGCACCTCTAATGGAGTCACAGACACCATAAGCAATAAGGATGAAGAAGGAGAAGAGAGGAGGCACCAAATACATCTAGAAACCCTAAAGTAACTCTTGTCCACGTTTTGGGGGCTTAGGGGCCCTTTAAATAAGTAGGCTATTAGGGTTATCTAACAAGGAAACCCTAATTTGACTGCTTAAGCCCTAAGCAGCCCATGGACTCCCTTTGGAACATCCCTTGGACGAAAATCATATGGGCTTCACATAGATTTCGTCCAACCTATATTCCAAGGTGATCCATAGCCCAAATGCAATTATCTTATAATTACACTTCTAGTCCCCTAAGTTTAATTAATCTCTTTTAGCCACAAAATTAATTCTTAATTAATTCTTGACTAATATTAATTAGACAATATGATTTCTCCTTTAATATATTATTCTTATAATACATTAATAAATCATAATTAATCATTTCTCTCCTGAATTCTTCCTACAAGTTGCTATGGTGAAGGCAACCCAAAAGGACCATTCTCATAATCAGGTCAAGTACATACCAAAATAGTTATGGACTTAGACACTAATCCAACAGTCTCTTACTTGGATAAGTCTAATAACTATTATGCATAACTTCAGAACCTGATCAACAATTGTAGCTTTCAAAAGCTGCTGTCAACTCTCATCTTATCAAATAAGCGTGTCCTTTCGATTAGGGATCATATATTCCTCCATTCTACAAGATATCGTATAGATAAGGGATCATATATTCCTCCATTCTAATAACTATTATGCATAACTTCAGAACCTGATCATTCTCTATGTCTATGTATTGTTTCCCGATATCTGATTTATGATGACTGACAACAGACTACAATTGAACACATCAACTTAATCTAGACTTGGCAAAGCGCTTAGGGTGTCATCACTAAATCATCGAGGGGCCCACAGATATCACTTTTATCCCACTTTAGGTAAAAGGAATGGATAAACTTCGACTCAAATGATCACTTAGGGTGTCATCACTAAATCATCGAGGGGCCAACAGATATCACAGATATCACTTTTATCCCCACTCTCCTGGATCGGGAATAAAATACACGCTCTTGGTTAATTGATCCATAATGACTCAAATCAAATCCACACCGTGCACAGTTTGGGACAACTTTGTAATGAAGTCCATAGTAATCTCTTCCCATTCCAAATGGGAATATCAAAAGGTTGTACCTTTCCGTGAGATTGTTGATGCTCGACCTTAACTTTCTTGCAATTTAAGCACCTCTCCACGCACCAAGTTACATCCTGCTTCATGCAGGCCACCAATAATCAGGACAAAGATCCCCATACACCCCCCCTCGGATATAAATGGAGAATCTCAATTTATACACCTCCTCCATTAGAACCCGATGCACACCACCGTATTAAGGAATCCACACTCTCCGATGGAGAGTCAATAATCCCCGACTATCATAATCGAAGGAATCCACCTGACTCATAATGTGTTCGCTCTTACGGTGCTCCTCCTTCAAAGCCTCAATATGCGCCTCCCTAATCTATTCCAAAAGCGGATTAATAACTGTCATCCTCAGACAGATATCCCTGATCGGAGCCCTGACTGCCTTGCGGCTAAGAGCATCAGCCTCCACATCGCCCTTCCCCGGATGGTAAAGGATCTTGAAATCATAATCATTCACCACATCCAACCACCAACGCTACCTCATCTTTAGATTTGGTTGATCCATCATGTACCTCAGACTCTTATGATCCATGTAAATAGTAGAATGTACCCCATAGAGGTAATGTCGCCAAATATTGAGGGCGAAAATCATAGTTCCCAGCTCCAAATTGTACATTGGATAGTTCTCCTCATGAGGCTTTAGCTACCTCAAGGCATAAGCAATAACACGACCGCTTTGCATTAAAACCACCCCCAATCATGTGATAGACGCATCACAGTAGACCAAAAAACCCTCAACACCTTCTGGCAGGGTCAAAATTGGTGCCTCACATAACCTCTATCTTAGAGTCTCAAACGCTGCCTACTGCTCAGGCCCCCAATGAAAAGTGGCAGTCTTTTTTGTCAATCGAGTAAGAGGAACCGCTGCCTTGGCGAAAACCTAAATAAATCTCCGGTAATATCCAGCTAAACCAAGGAAACTCCTAATATCGAATGGAGACCTCCGAACTTCCCAGCTCATCACGGTCTCCACTTTGGCCAGATCGACCAGAATATCATTCTGGTTGACAAGGTTCCTGAGAAACTGCACCTCGTGCAACCAGAACTCACACTTGGAGAACTTCTTATACAACCACTCCCTCCTCAGGGTCTCCAACACCTCTTGTAAGTGCTCCTGATGTTATTCCTGGGTGTTGGAATAGACCAGGATGTCATCAATGAATGCAATCATGGACCGATCCAACATCGGTCGACACACACTGTTCATGAGGTCTACGAATACGGATGGATCATTGGTGAGCTTGAAGGCCATTACCATGGACTCATAATGACCATAGCAAGTCCGGAAGGCCGTATTCTACACATCGTCCTGTTTGACCCTCATCTGATGATAACCTGAATGCAGATCAATCTTAGTAAACCAAGACGTATCCTAAAGATGGTTAAACAAATCATCAATCCTCGGGAGTGGATAACGGTTTTTCACTGTTAGCTTATTCAACTCCCGATAGTCAATACACATCCGATGCGACCCATCCTTGTTCTTCACAAACAATATTGGTGCACCCTAAGGCGAACTACTCAGTCAAATGAATCCCTTATCTAACAGCTCCTGTAGACAACTTCTGTATCTCTAGTAGAGCTAATCGATATGGTGCCTTGGCTATCAGAGCCATACTAGGAACCAAATAAATCTGGAACTCCGCCTTCCTCTCTGGAGGTACCCTAGGAAAATCCTACGGAAACACATCTGGGTACTCCAACACCACCGGCACATCATCAACTATCGGCCTAACCTTCTCCTGGGTATCCATAACACATGAAACAAATCCAGAACAACCCTGATAGAGGGAACGTCTAGCCTTAGCGGTAGAGCATAGGACCGACCCACACTGAGCGCCCTCTCCATGGACCACCAACTCTCCCCCACTTGGGGCATGAACACATACCAGCTGGCACTCATAATTAATCATTTTTCCCATTGGGGCTCAACCAATCCATCCCCATTATAACCTTGTTCCCGCGAAGAGGAAGCGGAACCAAGTCAATCAGATATTGTTCACTAAGCATCCCTAGAACACAATCCCGATGAACCCTAGATGATTGGACGGATCGATCATCAGTAATCTCAACCTCTAATGGATAATCCATATAACTCGAAGATCTGGCAAACCTCTTGTTGAGCGCAAGAGATATGAAAGATCGGGTAGCCCCCGAATCAAATAATACCAAAGCAGTTGTACCATTCACAAGGAACGATCCTAAAACAAAACACATAAAAGATATAAGCATTAAAATCAACATAAATAAAATGTTAAGGAGAAGAGACATACCCATCACCACATCTGGTGTAGCATGCGACTCCTCGACGCTCAACTGAAAGCCTGACTCCTCACCACATGAGCATCTGTCGCAGGGGCTGGTGATACCACTACTCCTCCTGATGCTAAACTTGGGCAGTTAGCCTTCTTGTCGCCCCTCTGATTGCAATGAAATCAAATCAGATCCGATGTTTGTGCACTGGTGATAGAAACAATATGATCCTTGCTATTGTGCCCTGACTTGCCGCACTTGTAGCAGCCTGATCCACCCGCCCTGCAAACCCCGTCATGCGACATGCTGCATTTGCCACAACGGCTCTAGCCCTGCTGGCCCTTCGACCTAGAGTTAAAACCCTTGGGTTTCTTTGCTGAATCGCCAACTGTTTGTCCAGGATCTGCCTTTCTCTTCCCTATGTGCTCCATATCGATCTCTCACTCT